GTGATGTTGTGAACATAAAGGCAAGTCTGAGAAGGCAGTGAGAAGACTTTGGCTTGTTTTTCTGAGCAGATTATTGTATACTGATGATCTCCTGTTTCTTGGGATGGAGAGGGGCAGTTCATGACCAGTTTCCTTCTCAAAGGTTTTTCATTTTCATCTATATTGTTTGGGTCCTTCCAAACTTCATATGGCGGTTGCATTAATCCACCAGTTCGATCCATACAGGAGAATGTTAGCACAGCTCCTTTCAATGAGAGGAATGTACCTATAAAAACAATTTCATATCACTGGCACATGAAATTCTTTCTAAAACAGCTGTTATTCATCTATGGACAATAAATGTTTATATTATGATAATTTATATCTATAGTATAATATTGTAGTAGAATACATAAATCAGTTACTGAGTTCATCAGTTGCAATAACTTGGAATCATAGAATATTAATTCTAAAAGAAACCTAAGACATCAACTTGTCAAATCCTCTCATTATATTAATAAGAAAATAGAGATGCAGAAAGACTAGGAGACTTGGGCCAGGTCACATAGCAAGTTAGTCCCTGAGCCTGGACTAGAACTCAGGTTTCCTGATTCGTCATTCCCTTATATTACATAGTCCCCCTTAAAATTCTTTTTAAAAAGCTTATATTAGAAAATGTATAATTTTTATTTTTTGAAATAATCTGAACTGAAAAATAATCATGCCATCTGATTCCATTTCCTTATTTCATAGGCTCATTTGCTAGAAAATGCTTTTTCCCCCCCCTGAAATTGAACACTCAGAATAAATTTCTTGAAATTTTTACATCTAAAGTTCATGCCAACAATTTGGATTATATGGAAAAAAACAAATAAACCAAAGCACCTTTGGCTCTTAGGCAGACTAATGGACCTTTATACAGAAAAGAAGTTTACTCACCTGGATTCTTCAAGGTTGAATGTCCATGCCAGATTACTACCTATCAGTGATTTTTACCAGTCCTGCAGGACAGGATACTATAAAGTTTAGGAGGGTAACTTTGAATAGATTGACCTTTGGACATTTCCAGACTCTCCCTTAAGCAGTGCCCCTAGCAGCCTTTTCTTTCCTTTGTCCTTTGACATCATGTCAAGAGAATAAGAGATTAATCAGGCTGATGTGCCTCAAGAGTGCACATGTGACCAAGACATGAGAAGGGAAGGGTGATACATAAAAATACATTCCATTTAGACAGTACTTTATAACTTAAAGTACTTAAAATTTATCAAATTCAAAATAACATGTTTAGATGATTTAACACCTCAGTTGTGTTTTTACCCTCACTTTAAAGCCAGAATTAGTGGCCTGTGAATGTCTTACTGTTACCAAAGAAGAACAAAGGTTCTTGGTAAACATCACAGGAAGGAATTCTAGGACGTACCGGAATGAGCAACACAAAGCCAAGCAAGCAGTGGATTTAGTAAAAGAAAGGCAGTAGTATAGTACACTCTCAAGATGGCGTGAGAGTGGGAAGGCCTAGAAGAGCAATTGCTCTCAAGAACAAAGACATTTTGGCTTATATTTGAATGAGGGCGCGAAATAGTCAGGGTTGGTGTTACAGGTGTTTCCAGGACGGGTCTTTGCCGACCACTCCTTACCAAGGTCGGGAGAAGGGATTTTTGTTCTTATTTGGCTCTTGTCAGAACTGTCATGGCAACACATGGGGTGGAGATTTTTCCCTGCCCGCAATGCTAATAGTATTATAATCTATTACAATTAGCTGTAGCTGCACCATTTCTTAAGAATGATCTCATCTCCTCTCTTTCCTTTGTCTCCCCTCACGTCCTCCTTCCCTTCCTCCCCCTTTCTCCCCAGGGCCCTGTGCCCTGTTTTCTGCCTATGTTAACAGCACTAGGATAACTGAAGAGGTAGGAGAGGGGGCGTTTAGGCAATCCAGTCTGAGAGTCCAGGTATAAAAGGACAGCACTCCCAACCTCCCATGAAGAAAAAAATGCCAAAAGCTATGAGGAATGATTTAATTATGATTCATTTAGAATTGATCCTTTTATAAAACCACATTTCCGTAATTACCTGCCACATCCTCAATTTAGAGATAGCCTAAAGTAGGTTAAAAAAGATAAGAAGTTTACACTTTTGAAGCCATTTTACTTATACCTGATGCTTATAAGAAGTCAGCATTGGGCTGGCTGAGTGGCTCAGTTGGTTAAGAGCTCACTCAAGAGTGCGAGCTCTGAGCAACAGCAGTTCGGGTTCCAGCCCGAGCTGAGCTGTCTTTGCCGAAACAGCTGCTTTGTTTCCTAATGTGTGGTCAAAAATGCTTTGTTTATATTCTGTTCATTAGGTTTATACAGGGTTTAAAGTTAGTGTATTATTAATCTTTATAACTCTGTTTTTAATCTTTCCTAACTTAAAAAGAAAACTTAAGTAAATCCAAATAATAAGTGACTATTTCAGAAATATACTTCATTACAAAGTCAGCTTAAATTTAAGGGCTTCTATAATAAAATTTTAACAATTTAGTGTACAGTAAATAATTGGCCACACAATTAGGACTTTCCTCTTAAAGGAAGTCTCACTGGCTAGAAGTATACGTTACACCAACTTTCCAAATAACCAACCCTCCCCACTACAACCTCCATTCATTCAATCAACAAATATTTATTGAGGGCTTTCTATATGTTCTAGGCCATTTTAGGCACAGGGGATATAACAGTGAATGAAACAGACAAAAATCCCCACCTTCATAGAACTTACTTTCTGTGATAGAGGCCGATAACATATATGATAAATAAGCATATATATATATATATATACATATATATATATATATATATATATATATATATATATGACACATTAGGTAATAAGTACTAAGGAAAAAAATAAAGCAGAAAAAGGATAGGAACTCTTGGTGAAAGGTGCAATTAAATTTTAAATAGAGTAGAAAGTGTTATGGACTAAATGTTTGTGCCTCTCCCTGCCCCCAAATACATGTACTGAAGCCCCAACCTCCAGTGTGGATATATTTGGAGAAGAGGCCTCTAAGGAAACAATTAAGGTTAAATGAGGTCATAAGGGTGGGACCGGATCTGATAGAATTAGTGTCCTTATAAGAAGAGACACCAGAGAGCCCTCTCTCCCTCTCTGTGGGGACACAGAAGAAAGACCATATGAGCACACAGTGAGAAGGCAGCTGTCTGCAACTCAAGGAGAGAGTTCTCACCAGATACCAACACTGCTGGAACACTGATTTGCGACTTCCAGTCTCTATAAGTATGAGAAAATAAATTTTTGTTGTTTAAGCCACCTAGTTTGTGGTATTTTGTTATGGTAGCCTGGGCAGGCTAACACAGAAGAGAATGCACGATACTCTGGGTATTAGGGCTCAGGAAACCAGCACAAAGTGCTGATATTCTGGCTAATATGATTGTCCCTCACCTCTGACACAGGAGTCTCATGTTTTCTATCAGCATCCGTGAAACTGGCAACCTAACTTTATTAGTTTGCAAGTAAGAAAAAAATCTCAAACTTTTGCAGGCTTTGGCTTTCTAAAGCAGTGAAGAGCAGATTAATAGGAAATAAGATCAGAGATATAATATGGAGCCAGGTCATGTAGCTTGTAGGACAAGGTAAAGACTTAAGACTTCACTATTTGAGATGGCAGGATTTTGAGACTAGAGTGACATACTCTAATATTCATTTAACAGGATTACTCTTCCTCCTGGGCATATCCTATAGGGAGTCAGGTTGGAAGGAGGGAGAACAGTTAAAAGGTCAGTATAATAATCCAGGTGAGAAGTGGATACAGGCTTGCTTGAACCAGGTGGTAACAGTAGAGGTGGTAAGAAATGATCAGAATCTGAGTATATTATAAAGGCCAAGCCAACAGAATTTGCTAATAAATTGGCTTTAGAGTATGAAAGAAACATAATGGTCAAGGATGATTCTGTTTCTGACCTGAGAAATCAGAAGGATAGACTTGCCATTAACATACGTGGGAAAGATTATGGGAGAAAGGAAAGGCTATCAGGAACTCGGTTTTGGAGAGGTTAAGTTGGAGACGTTTAGTAGGTATCCAAGCGGATGTTAAATCCCTGGTTCTGGCACGGAGCTCCTGAAACCCTTGGAATTTCCTAAGTGAAGAGAGGGACACAGGTATCTTTTATTATGTTAATGAGGTGACTTTTGGACCACACCTAAGGATGAGGGCTGGTTGCCAGGGGAACCAACCACATGATTGGAGGTGTTGGAGATTGAGTTCAATCACCGATGGCCAATGATTTAATCAATTATGCCTATGTAATGACGCCTCCATAAAAACCCAAAAGGAGGGGATTTGGAGAGCTTCCGGGTTGTGAACAGGTGAAAGTGCTGGGGGAGTGACGATTCTGGAGAGGGCATGAAAGCTCTGCGTCCCTTCTCACATACTTTGCCCGGGAATCTCTTCCATTTTGATGTTCATCTGTATCCTTTCACAACAGACCGAAAACAGTAAGTAAGCAGTTTTACTGAGTTCTGTGACCTGATGTAGCAAATTAATCACGAGAACCTCAGATTTATAGCTGATGGGTCAGAAGCACATATGACAACCTGGACTTGTGATTGGCATTTGAAAGGGGCTGGGGGACAGTTTTGTGGGACTGAGCCTTTTACCTGTGGGATCTGATGCTATCTCCAGGTAGACAGTGCCAGGATTGAGTTAAATTGTGGGATACCCAGGTAGGGTTACAGAGAATTGCTTGTTGTGAGAAAAAGCCTCCATACATCTGGTGTCAGAAGTGTTGTGAGTGTGACAGTAGTGTGGACGTAGAGGAGACACACAGGAGAAACACACCGAAGGAAGAAGGACTAGATTATTTCCCTGTATGGGAGGGAAGAACGGTAGGTTTTCCCATCCCAGCCTATAAAGCTGCATTACCATGATCAGCATCACCTAGGAGCTTGTTAAAAATGCAAATCCTCGGATCCCAGCCCAGATGTACTGAATCAGAAACTCCAGGGTTTGGGCTCAGTAATCTGTGTTGTAACAAGCCCTCCAAATGATTCTGATACAGGCTACAGTGATAGCTACTAGAATGGATAATCTCTAGATGCTTTCCCATTCTAAAATGCAATGATTTAGTGCATTTCAAATTTCCATATCATTGATTAGAATTTGTTGTCAAGACAATCAATAAATTTATGTGAAAATAGGTTCCTTAAGAAAAGAGAAGTGGGCTTTTCTTTGTTAAGAGGCTTTTGGTTACTGATTTAATCTCCTTATTAGTTATCGGCCTGTTCAGATTTTATATTTCTTCATGATTCAGCCTTAGTAGGTTGTGTGTTTCTAATAATTTATACACTTTTTTCTAGGTTATCCAGTTTGTTGGTATATAATTTACATAGTAGTCTCTTTTAATCTTTTATGTGGCATCATTGTAATGGCTCATCTTTCATTTTTAGTCTACCTAAGTAATTTTTCAGTTTGGTTATCTTTTCAAAAAACCAATTCTTATTTTCACTAAAAAGTGTGCTAAGGATTTGAATAGACATATCTCCAAAGAAACCATAGAGAGATAATTGTGCATATTTCCTTAAAATTAGGAATGTAGTAAATAATATTTTCTTTGTGAAATAGGTTTACAATTAAAATAAAATGATCCTCTTTATTAGTTTGCTTTTGTTTTGTTTGTTCATTTGTTTTATTTTTTAGATTCCACATATAAGTGAAATCATATAGTATTTGTCTTTCTCTGTCTGACTTATTTCACTCAGAAACAAACTCATAGATACCAAGAACAAACTGATAGTTGTCAGATGAGAGAGGGGTAGGGGGATGGGTGGAAAAAGTGAAGGGAACTAAGATGTACAAGCCACTAGTTATAAAATAAGTCACGGGACATAGAGAATATAGTCAATAATATTGTAATAACTATGGTGTCAGATAGTCACTAGACTTATCATGGTGATCACTTCATAAGATATATATAAAGTCTAATCACTAATGTTGTACACCTGAAACTAATATACTATTGCATGTCAACTACAATTAAAAATAAATTTTAAAAAATGATCCTAACAGGTTAACTTTTAAAATACAATGCATTTTATGGGCTGAATTGTTCTCCCCCATATGTTGAAGGCCTAAACCCTGGTACCTCAGAACGTGATTGTTTTTGTGATAGAGTTTTAAAGGTGACTAAATTAAAATGAGGCTATTAGGGTGGCCCCAATCCAAACTGACTGGTGTCTTTCTAAGAAGAGGAGGTTAGGACACATTGGGAGACACCAGGGACACATGCATACAGAGGAATGCCATCTGCAAGAAACTTCAGAAGAAACCAGACCTGAAGGCACCTTAATCTTGGACCTCTAGCCTTCAGAAGTATAAGAAAATGAACTTCTGTTGTTTTAGGCACACAGACACACAAATACATTTATCTGAATTTGCCACACTAGTGGAAAGCTAACTATTCCACCTACAATAAGTGACAATCCATGTATATGAATAGGCATAACTGTTAACAAAGAAAACACAACTTCATCTAACCTACCATACTATATATTGTATTCTTTTAAGATAAAATCCCTCATGTTATATATTAATAAAATTCTTTTTGTTTACTTAAATGTTTTTCAGATAGTTTTTACCATATAGAGGAAAGAGACAGTAAAATTTATTGATAAGAACAAATTTAAAAATATTAAAAGAAATAACAGGAGGAATCAAACTCATCTCCTCTTTGAAAGAAAAAAAGATTATTCAAGTAGAAAGAGCATACAACATATGCTTTAGCAACAATACTCATAATTTAGGTCAAATTTCTCGGCACTTGGATAAAAAGGAAAGAAATTGTGTGGCATCTCTTGGAAACAACATGGGAAGATTATCAGACTTTAAAAAGCCATGTCAAGTCAGACTACTTCGAGCTTAATTGGTCTGAGCTCTTTCAAGGATGATGTGAAAACACTCATAGGCTCTGATCTGGCATGGAGCTTTGGAGAAATGCTTCAATTCATTAAAAATAAATTTTCAACTTCTGTATTAAGGTTTTTCTCAGTGCTTTTCAAAAACTTATTTCCTAAAGCATTGTTTAGGTCAGCAGTTCCACAGTTTCATACTATAGAAATGGTTGTAATTTTACCCTAAAGGAAAGCTAAGGTTGCAATATGACAAATGTTGAAATAGTATATGGCTTATGAAATTCTCAATAGTTCCTATTACACAGAATACTTATAATCTTTGCTTTAGGTCAATACAAATTAATGTTTTACAATACCTTATATCTAAATTTTAAAAAGTAGTAATGGAGGAAAATGAAAACTCTTACCACTTGGCAATACCATGACTGGCTCTGTAAATCTTTGTTCATCTGCTGAAGGTAGGTTCAGGGAGATGATTAACACCATTCCCAGACTAGTTCCAACAAACAAACACGGGGAGATAGTAGAGTCATTTTTCCGAGCAAAGGACTCCATGAAGTATAGTGCTGTAATTGCTTCTTTAGAATCTTTGTCAATACTAGAGATGCTAGAGCTTCTAGAACGATTATATGAATTTTCTCGGCTTTCTATGGAAATTAAAAAAACAAAAATTAAATGTCAGTGCATTTCCAGAAAAAGTAAAGTCTGACTTAGTACATGAAAATTATGAGGAGGAAGTAGAATATGATTCTTTGTTAACTGAGCTGGAAGTCAGCTTATCCTGTGCACCAGCTTATTTTGAAGACGAAGAGACTGAAGTCCAGAGTGTAAGCCATAAACCTAGGCAAAGCTGGGGCAAAAGTTGATTCTTTGGAGGTCTAGTTAACCATGTTTTCTTTCTACATTACCTCACAAGTTAGTTGAAACTCTCTAATCTGGAAAAGAAATGTTTAGTTTACATGGTCAAGGTTACAAGTATTTCTGGTATCTTTTTAATTATGCTTTCCTCCTATCTATCAGTTGTTGGAAGTATTTTTAATGATTTCTTGGCAATTCCCACTTACTGACAACATTGCGGCTACTAACCTGAAGAGTCACAAATGTTCTGCGGCGAATACATTCCCCTAACACAATTTTTGGTTTTGCTGTATCCGGAGTAATTACAGTTGAAAAACTGAATTATTTACCAAGGCCAAAGAGCAAATGTTATCTTCCTGAACTAGCTTCAAGCTGCCTACCTTGAATCCAAATTCAGTCTTAACTGTGTAGGGCCAAATAAGGAGCTGTAGACAATGCCATCCATTGAGCATGGTAATCTTTCTGACAGGGCTTCAACCCACTTAAAGGAAACAGGATGGTTTCAGGCTCTCCTGCTCATCAACACTTACTCATGCGCACACTCCAGCAAGCATAAACTTACCCCCTCAGTTAAGTGGTTCTAGGAAGGTTATATTGTTCATATAATCACTCCAGTTTTCAAGTTCCTCATATTTTTTCTACTCTCTCACTTTCCCTTCCCTTTTGATAGGTAGAAGTGTGACTCATTTTTATAAAAAGAGACTAAATATAAATCCCTGACTATCCTTTTTCTAGAAAACAACATAGTATTCCTAATTTCTCCCCTTATATTCCTTAGCAAGTTTATAAACATAATGGTTTTTAATAGAATTTAGAGATGAGAGTAAGCTTGGATAGAAACTATATATTTTATAGATTTGGAGACAGAGACATAGAGTTAAGTAATTTCCCCAGGATATAGCACAAGTTAGAAGCAGAAATATCTAAAACTCAAAATTCTCAACTCGCAATCCAGTGATTGAGTGCTACTACTTTTATAACCTTCACATTTTTGCTTCTATTGTAACATTCCTAGCTACTATGTTCCCCAAATTTTTCCATGGTTTATCAACATTCAAGGTTGCTACTGATAGATACCTGTGATAGAGATAACATTATTTATATGACCATGGACCATATTTAGTATGGCATCATATCAAAGAAACAATAAAAACTAAAAAAATTATTTAAAAAATTGAAGAATAAGATAGATCATTACTATCAAAATTTTTGAGGGGTGGTAAATGGGAAATTATAGCATAGAATTAGCAAATCTTCCTAAGATTATTATTTTTTCTATCTCTCTCCCCAAAGTTCTTTATCAGCAAGATAATAGCATCAAAGTTATAAGTTTCCTCCCTTTCTTTCTCTCTGTAAAAATTTTTGGCCTTCTGGCTTTTGTACTTTACTCCCTGTCCCCACACTCATTCTATAAATAAGCAATCCTCTCTGAAAACATGATGATGAAGATTGCAAACTTTAGAATTCAACATCCTTCTTTTTTTTTTTTTGGTCACATGAACTTGACAGTTGAAGAAATTAAGGTTGCAAGACATTAAATAACTACAGATAGAGACACTAAGCGGCTTACCACTTAGAGGGAAAGAAACACGCAATTACTACTGGGAGTGTGTACAACAGATTAAGGCATAATCCTTTGTACAGAGGAGGTGGGAACCCACCAATGAGCAGAGCCATTCTGGTTTCAGAGATGAAGACAAAGGTGTAGTGAGGAATGGACTTGGAGTCATGGCCACAGCTCCACCAGGCTCTGTTAGTTGTTATTCATTGCCTACAGTTGACTGTAGTTTTTTATATCTTTTACACATGACCTCCACCCCTTGTCCTCTAGCTCCCATTACCATGGTATATCAAATCATAGTTGTATTCACAAAAATTTGCATGTTTAACCTACCTTCTGTTGTAACTGGTAAAGAAATCTCCATGCAAGCGGCAGATTGTGCTTTTCGAAATGGTGGTCTTCCAGGACCCCAGCGGTTTACTTTTGAAACATCAGCACTAGAAAGCCGTTTTCCAGAACTGCAGCTCTGAGAAGTTGGGCTTGTGCAGTGTCCATTTATATGATCTGTACCAAGAGGAAGCCAACATAAATATAATTAAATCTTAATATTAAGGAATCCATATGTAGATTAATACGTGAAGAAGAGTGAGAATTATTTTTTCAAACTATATAGATGACTTAAACCTTGCTATTTTAAAATTTAGTCACAATTTCAGTAGTTAGCCAAAAATTTCATAAGATGGTTATTAAATATAAGATTCGTTTTTTAAAATTTGACTAGTTAACATAGTTTAATATTCTATATTCCTACTATATAGTCTACCATTTTAATGGCCATAAAAAATAGGTTACAGTACTGAACTCTTTTGAATAATTTAAATAAACACCCATTTATATAAGTTTTGGAAGTACTTCAAGTGCTTGGAGATTAAGATATAGAATGGAAGCATCTTATTGTGCAGTTGAGAATGGTACTTAAGAATATTGACTCTAGAGCAAGGCTGCCTGGGCTCAAATCCAAATTCTACCACTTACTAGTTTTATGAATTACTGAAGTCTTCATGCTTTAGTTTCCCCTTCCATAAATAGGGGATATTATCTGCCATATGGAGTTTTTGTAATAATACATGTCACAAGCCAGAACATTTCCTGGTATATGGTAAACTCTGAACAAAAATTATTGTCATTCCATTCCAGAGTATTAAAATTGCTCATGTCTAAAATAACAGTGCTATTTAGAGCTTGTGAGTTTAGCTGTTTTGATAAACTTGAAAACTTGTAATTGCACAAAAATGTTTTATTTTTCTTAATGCTAAAAAATAATATTTGAAATATCACCTCATAGTGCAATATTCAGAATGCATTTTAAATGTTCTTCTTTAGTCATTCAAAGGACAATAGAATTAAATGGAGAATTCAATGTTTAATATCTATCTTGGACATAGGGAACTAGCACTAAGTGTCCAATCCATTATACCTTTATGTATTGTAGAGTTTGAAAACATAATTGTACACTTCCTAGATTCCCTTCCCACTTGGGCAAGGGAATTAGGTTTCATTATTTAAAAATGCACTAGTGTGTTTAACTGTTGTTTAAAATGAGAGTTAACATTTATTGAATACTTAAATGTCAGGTGTTTTATACACATTATTCATTTAATCTTCACAACATCCCAGCAAGATAGGTGCTTGATATTCCTGATTTTGCAGATAAGGAAACTGAAGCTCAGGAAAGGGTTCAGAAAGTTGTCCATTATTACATAAGTAGTATCATGGAGGCAGGATTCCAATCCAGATTTTTCTCATTGAGTGTCGGTCTGATTTAAAACTGGGCCACAGATTCACATAAAATATTTGATAGGGTTTAGGAGTGGCTTGTGTGATTGTGATTCACATTGAGATCCAACCCTTTAGGGCCAGTTATCTTCCATACTAACAGATCTCAGAAATCCCAGATTTCCCAGGTGGAAAGGCAGAAATATCCCATGATAAGTTAGCCATGGGGAAGCTGAAGTTAAGAGCTCTACCCTTCCTTCGCTATCAAATCTGATCTCATAAATAGGAAGAACACTGAGGGCAACAGCTGGCACTAAGAAGGACGTAGAGTGAATTGCAACTACTTTGTGGGTACAAATTGCAAAAGGAAGCCCTACTCTGGGTACATCAGGACAAGTTGCCCCTTCCTCGGATGTGATGCCTTGTTCTATGACTCACTGCTTGTGCAGAGAAATGCGGGATGGATTCACAGCCTTCTTTGCTGGGTACAAGAGTATATGGCAGATCCAGAGAATAGTAAAATTTCTTCATTTAGCCAAGACCCCTTGCGTTTGTTAAGCCAAAACCCCTGCTGAGCTATTACCATTTCTTGGTGGCTGTTTCATGTGAATATTGTTTCATTTCTGCTCATAATAGGGCAGTATCGATTATTAGATTACTCAGTATGCTAGTCCTCCTTCTCCCCTCCCTGCCATCGAGTGTAGTGACCCAATTTTCCTCAGGTTCTCGTGGTGGAGTTACAAGGTCCAGCTGATATTACAATACATATATGGGTAGCCCAGAGTTTTTGGCCACATATTTGTTTTCAATAGTGCTGATTAACTTAAAGGATTTATGTTTGTACTTAAATTTTTAAAATATATGGAATTACATTTGTTTTCTTTAAAACTTATTTTTCTTTACCATGCTAAATATTCAAGATAGATATGAATTGATACAAAATATTTAGAAAGAAATTTGGTCATAGCCAAGAGACACTCATTCTGGAAATTTCTAATAAAGAAATAATGCTAAAAGAAAAATTAAAACCTCCATTGATGGTCACATGTCTTGCTAGGGAGACCACATCATGGATGGGGTAGAGGCTTGATCACTGCACTGTACACCTGAAGCTGATGTTGTATAATATTGTATGTCAACTATAAGTGAATATATATA